TAGTAGTTAATTTAATTTTAGAATTAATAGAAGTTGTCGATGGTACTGTACTGGGAACAGTTGTAGTTGTTCCATTAATTGCTGGTGTCGGAGATTCAGTTTCAGGAACAAAATGTAATACAGATGGTGGTCCTTTAGCTTTAAGACCAATACATCGATTACATTGAACACTGCCATTAAAAGATACTCCATCGCCGAGGAAGATTTCAGATATTAATTGATCACTGTCAAATGCCTCTGCAGCATATGCACCGCCTGTTGGAGAACTATGGGCATAACTATAGGAGTATACATTTATTTCCTCAGGTGGTGGTAAATCAGAAACAGATGTTTGTGGTGCTAATTTCACTAAAAATATTCTATAACAACATATCGGGCCATTTCTCTCAGAAATACGAGGTAAATATAATTTAAATAACTGTCTACCCTGATTTTCAATTTTTCTCCATGTTCTCATATTTAAACTGTCTCTGTCAGGGATAGTAACTGGAGTAGTGCAATTACCAATTGAATCTTTTCCTGGAGAACGAGACCTAGTTACACCATGTACGTGTACCTTTTAACAAAATATAGCTTATTTTATTATAATTATTCGTGAAATTATATAATATAGGTAATTCACAATTTTATCATATATAAAATTGAAAAATACCGTATAGTTTGTGTTTGATGGTATTTGACCATATCTAACGTTGTTTTTGTTGGAAATACTCTTAAATAAATTCCATCTGTCAATATCTAATCGGCCCATATCATTTTTAAATGTTGCTATACCAGTTAATTGTAGATTATATCGAGTTATGAAACCATTTGATTTTATTGGTGGTAACCAAGTAATATAAATAGAACTAGAACTGCTTATGTTATCATATTGACACGTAACTACCAATTTTTCTGGAGGACCAGCAACTGTAATGAAGAATACTTTATTACATTAAAATTTACAAATCCATAATTAATAAAATATTGAATTTTATTTAATAATACCTCCATCTAATGTTGTGCCATTCACCTCAGTACTCCAATTACCACATTGTTTTGTATATTCACTACAAGCAGCAATTTTAAAATTGTAAGTAGTAGCTGGATCAAGATCTACAAATGCATATACAGTAAACTGCTGTGCTGGATAAAAAGCCTGTCGTTTTTGATTTTCATATGTTGCCATTAAATTGTAAAAGTGTACGTGTTCTTTCAGATGTGGTGGTGGTACAGTCCATGCTATAGTAATAGAATTTTCAGTGACTCCATTAACAGAAACTTTTGGTATAAACACTGGATCTATAAAGTAAATTTTGTATGATTCGTAATTATTATTATTATTATGTATTAGGATCTTATAATAGCTATATGTTATGCTTTGTTTACACACCTTTTTCTAATGTAGTGACCCATTGCGGATAAACTTGTATATGAGATGAACCAACAGCATTATGAGCGCTAATTCCAATTTTATATGCCGTACCATTTTCAAAATATTTCAAAACATAACTCGAAATACTTCCACCAATTTGTTCTTTATAAAATTGAAAACTATCTGTTCCATTTTTCATATGTCTAATTAGATATTCTTTAATTGGTTCATTACCATCATCTACCGTCCAATTTAAGAAGATACTACCAGCGCCAACAGCTTTTATAAAATCAATGCTAACTTTTGGTACATCAATTACAAAAAGATTTGTATAGGCACTTATTGTGCCCTTGTTATCTTCAGCTTGACAAACGTATGTACCATTATCTTTGCGAGATAGATCCTTAAAATCTAACGTCATTATTACATAGGTTTCATTTACATGCGTGACAGTCGAATGATTTTTCAAATGTTCATTAGTTTCAGTATCGTTTCCTTTAAACCAACTAAAATTTGAGAGTGGATAGCCAAATACATGGCATGTCAGGTTAGCTGATTCTAATACTTTAATTCTAACATCTCCATCCGATATTATTCTGCCAGGTTCTAAAATATATAAACACATTTGAAGATTTATATATTCTAGATAGATTAGCATAATTGATTATTTATCAATATGAAAATAATTATACCTATAACCCTAATATGAATCTCTTTTTCAAGAAGTTCTCCTTGAGTAGTACGAGCCATACACTTGTAATCACCGGTATCATTTCTACTTGCTTTCTTAATATCAAATCGTCCGGCATTTTCAAAATCTTTTATTGTGGTAAGATTGTTCCCCTTGGCAGTCCACCAGACTTGGCCAGGCACATTAAGTTTACATGTTAAAGAAGGTGTACTGTCTGCTTCAATTCCATCTACATCTTGAGATATTGTTATCTCTAATGTAGCAATTTTTTCATTCTTTTGCCAAATATTTTCTGTCTTCTCTGTGTCTAAGAATAAAATATTTTATTTTCAATAAAAATTCTTGTTTATTGTTTACCAATAAATTTTAAGCTTGTTCCAAACGTTATAATTATATATAAATATATAATACTGACAATACTAAAAAATCTATATTAAATTTGTAGATGCAATACTGTATATATATATACATATGATATATACATTTTCTCTATTTATATACTCTTTCCTTCAATATATATAACTTATAAAGAACTTCTAATAATTTTCTCTTCTATTTAAATCAACAAATATTAAGTAGAAGAAATAAAATATATACATTTATTTTATATAAATAACAAATAAGTATCATTTGGATCCTAACTAAACTGTCAAGAAAAATAGAAAAGATAAAATAAAAAATAAAAAGATAAAAAATAGTTTAGTAATCCTAGATATCAAATAAAATTGATTGTATAAGTATAGGAGTATAGTATTAAATCTAGGAAAAATAACTAATTATATTCAAATTAATATAAATATAATTGATCTAAAGATCAATGATTATTTTTTTTAACCGAGAATGAAATAAATATAAAGACATTTTTGTTTTACAATTATAGAGTGTTTAGAGAAAATAAGAATGTATGTAACAATAATAACATATTATATCAATTGTCGATTAATTTGTATAATAAATATATAGTTAAACACTAATGATGATAGAGAAAATAGTGGGATATTATCTGACGCCCATAATGATACATGTTACGCCTTCTTACTATTTTAAAGAGGATATATAATATATATATATATATATATATATATATATACATACCCCCGTCATCGAGGTCAGCAGAAACGATAATAAGACAGCAAATAATTAATAAAGAAGTTTTCAACATCGGCAGATCGTTTAGAAGAAACATGGCGTCCTGACAGCCGGGTGTAAGCGTTATATTTTCTGGCCCTTTTATCACTTTCTAACGTCTTCATGCGCAATCCAAATCCCTCTCAGAAAGCCATGTCGCTTTTCTATGGTATCACCTCTTCGCATTTATTACTATTTAAACTTCACTCTAACATTCTACACTGCGCACTTATGTGCGTTAACGCACATTTCAGATATTCCTTATCCACTTTATATTTTGTAACAGTGCTTAGTGAAACTGAATCATATTATTATGGAACATAACGTAGGCAGACTTTTCTACAGAGCCACTACATGCAACTATATAAACTCCTCTACCTTCGAACGCGCATTACTATGCATACAGTGCACTCTAGAGGAATCTGCTTTTATAACTGTACAGTTTTATCAGTTGGTAAGGTAGATAATCGTATCTATCATTTTATGCATTACCTTCTTTTTCGTGATTTCTTAATGTAATTCGTAAGTGCTTCGCGATATTGTGGTAGAAAACATATTCGTAGATATTGTATATTAATCTCATCAGTAAACTTATATGTAAGACAATATTTTGAAACCATGAGATAAAAACTTTCATATATTGTCATAGTTAAAATCATCACTTTGTCAAAATTGATATCTGAAGGATTACTTTTGTATGTTTCTATTGTATAGGAAAAATATATTAGTTTTCTAATAATACTCGTTGAAAAGGTTTTACTTCGCAATGGCCGAACTTCTTTTGGATTCTAATATTCGTGGATGGGTTTTTCTACCTATAGTTGTTATCACATTTTTAGTTGGAATTATTCGACATTATGTTTCTATATTACTGGCTTCACAGAAAAAAGTGGAAGTTCATCAGGTGCAAGATAGGTAAGTTGGATTTAAATTTTCGATAATTATTTGGTAATTCTTTGATATATTAATTATACTTTATTTCTTTTTCTATCTTCAGTCAAGTGATGATACGATCTAGACTTCTTAGAGAAAATGGTCAGTATATTCCAAAGTTTGCATTTATAATGAGACGACATTTCTTTAATAACGAAGAAACAGGATACTTTAAAACACAAAAGCGTGCACCTGTATCACAAAATCCAATGACTGATCCTAACATGGTGACAGATATGTTGAAAGGAAATTTAACAAATGTTTTGCCAATGGTTCTTATAGGTGGTTGGATTAACTGGATGTTTTCTGGATTTGTTACAAGTAAGCTTATAAAGCTAATTACGTAATGTAACTTGGTAAAAATATGAAATTTTGTCTAACATTACTAATTATTATTTTTTTTTCAGCTAAAGTTCCATTTCCTTTAACGTTAAGATTTAAACCCATGTTACAACGAGGCATTGAATTAGTCACTTTAGATGCTGCATGGGTTTCTTCTGCTTCATGGTATTTTTTGAATGTATTTGGATTGCGTTCTATTTATACTCTTGTACTTGGTGAAAATAATGCTGCGGATACATCTAGACTTTTACAAGATCAAGTGTCAGGTGCAGCAATGTCGATGCCACCAGATCCAAAAGCAGCTTTTAAATCTGAATGGGAAGCTTTAGAAATATGTGAACACAATTGGGCACTACAAGGGGTAGATGCAGATCTTACAGGACCTCATAGTAGGCCAGATACAAATGATAGTATATATCATCAAAGTAAATCTTAAATATACTACTAGCCAACGTTTCCCTAAAGATAACAGTATATTCTTATGAAATACTATGGAAAGTTCAACATATTTCTAAAAACATTAAATTAATGATTTATATATCACACAATAAATATAGTATAAATAATTTATATTAATTTAAAAATATTGTAGTAAATTCTATTTCATCATGTACAAATATCTACCTAAAACTTAAATAAATAATTTTAAATACTAAAGTATAATTACAAAGATAACAATTCTTAACATTTCATTGATGGGTATAAATCTGTCCGACGATGTTGTTCGCATGGCATATTTTTTCGAATTTTGGCTAATAAATCTAAATCTATTTCTGCTATAGCTATGCCAACTTTCTCAGCGCATTGTGCCAGAACTGTTCCCCATGGATCAATGATCTATAGCAAAATACATAGATATAATATACTTATAAACAATTGATAACTTTAATATCAATTTTGAAACAATTTATTTTAAAATATAAAACTTTACCATAGAGTGTCCCCAACTTGTACGTTTTTTATTATGAGCACCTGTTTGTGCCGCAGCAATAACATAACATTGTGTTTCTATAGCTCTTGCACGTAATATTACTTCCCAATGTGCAGCACCAGTTTGATACGTGAATGCTGAAGGAAAAGTTAAAATTTGTGCTCCCATATTTCTTAGAAGTAGAGATTGTTCAGCGAAACGCATATCATAACACTAATCATTTAGTTAAGTAATATTATCTATATCTAATACAAAAAAAAAATGAAAAAGGATACAATGCTTAAAGCCAAGTAGCCGGCTGGTGTACAAACAGGTGGTATTATTTTATCCCCTTTTACAACATAATCTGATTCCATTAAGCGAACACCTGTATCCTTATTATCCATATCGAATAAATGTATTTTGCGATATTTAGATACTAAATTGCCTTCATTGTCAATTAAAATATGTGTATTACAAATCTTTTCTTCATTGTCAGGTAACTGAAAGTAATTTAATACTAATTGTAAGTTGAATAATTTAACGAATGTTATTTGATGGTAAAATTTCAAAGTATTAAGGTATTATTAATAAATAAAAATATTAAAAAATTAATTATATATTACTGCTTCATGAATGCCACCTAACGATAACCAAATATTATTTTTAGCAGCGATTTCCTTGTAACGAGTAACTGTTGGACCATTTAAGGGTTCTGCTAATTCAATTATTTCTTTTCTGCTTTCTCCCATATAATCACATGCCTCTGGCAAGAATGCTATCTATAATAATAATAATAATAATAATAATAAAAAGGAAATTTTTCAATATTATTTATTTACTATCATATATTAAGTTTTAAATAAATAATCATTAGTTTTCTTACACAAGCATTTCTTTGCTTAGCTTCATTAATTAATTTGGCAACTACTTCTAAATTTTTTTCTTTATCATTTATAGATCTCATTTGACAAATAGCAACTAATTTGTTTGTCATCGTAGAGATTAATCTTCTTGTTTCTTTCCTAATAAAAATATTGCATGAAGTTAGAACTAGATTTCAGAACAAAATTTATCTAAATTATTAATCATTAAATATGAGAAAGTTAAAACATGTCTATGTGCAATAAAAAATTAGAATACATTTAAATATGTTATATTTAAAATGACCAATCTATTTCATTTAATCTAAAAGTTACATACATAAATATAACACGTGATATATTCATTGTAACTCGAATACATACTGTTCTATACCATTTCATATCTACTCGAAGGATAAGTCAGAAGTTCGAAACTGGACAAATAAGAATACAACCTAAACGCCATCTAGCAAAGAATATTCTATAGTGGTATTGCTTAGTGTATGCACGAAACGTGTTCACTTTGTTATAGCAGTCATCAAAGATGGTGAGGGTTTTTTGATACTCTTGAAATCTATTAAATATATTTACATCGTTAATAAGATTTGATATTAAGTTATAAAAAGTGATACTATATTATCTAATAAAGTATATTATGTGTTTCAGTCGGCTCACAAAACATTTATTATTAAGCGAAAGCTTGCCAAAAAGTTGAAACAAAACAGACCCATTCCTCAATGGGTTAGGATGCGTACTGGAAATACTATTCGGTAAGTTGATTGTTATTAGCATTATTTTAATATTTTTCATTACTATCAAATATCATTTTTAGATATAATTCTATACTATTATGATAAAAATTGTAAAATAAATTTTTGGTATATTTTTCATTGGTTATGGTTATCAAGTCATTGGTATATTTTTTTTTGGTTATGAATTTAGTATAGTATTAACAATTTTAATATTATTATACGTTTAGTATTTTTATTATTTTTATAGTAGATAATTTGTAAAATTATAAAAATCTAAAATAATTGATTTTATTATCTGTTAAAGACAATAATTATTTCTCAAAATTCCAGGTACAATGCTAAGCGTCGTCACTGGAGGAGAACTAAGTTGAAGTTGTAACTTAGTCTCCAAAACTACAGCGATATCAATTCCATTGACTTCAATGATTTTCTGATAATTCCAATAAAATTGTTAAATTTATCTTGATATAAATTATCTTTTCTTAATATTAGATATTAAATTATCTAACCTCAATATGCAACCTCAATAATAATTTTCATAACGTTGTGTAACCTCACAAGATATGTATTGAATCATTGTAGTTAACTTATTTTAATAAAAATTATAAGTAATATATCTTTAGTCTAAACTATTTAGTGGTTCACAACTACATCATATAATATTTTAATTTATTTACACAAATAAAGAATACAATTATAAAGAATTATATATTTTACGCATTCGCATTTCTTTCAACCATTTCTCTATCTGTTGTTCGCCAGTTTTAGGAACAGGTAAATAATAATTTTTAGGTGGCTTTCCTTCCTCTAAGCGTACAAAGTAATGAACATACATGTATCTTATTTCTCCGATTCGAGCTCGAGCATGACGTCTTATTCCCTTAACCACAATACCTTTAGTAGTAAAAGATTCAGCTGGAAAATAATAATACAGCTTGTAAAAAAAACTTTGGTGCAAATGATAGAATATTTATGAAATTGTAATTTACTTACCAACCCATAAATTACTTTTAAATTCAACATTATGTTGCAGTACGGCTAACTCTTGCGCTTCTAAAATAGTTTCTTTAACGATCATTGCACCTTTTTTATGCATAAAACTCAACTGTTTAACAGCTTCATCTACGGTCATTCCTCTGACAAAACTAGCAATGTACCACATTTTTTTTAGACTGTATTTTATATTTGCTTTCATATGGCATACGTACTGAAATAAAAATGGATTGATACAAAAATATAAATCATATATAATAATATGATTATATTATATTATATAAAAAGAAATTACGTACTGCCGGTCTTCTTTCTTCATCTGGTGATTGGATGGGAAAAAATGTTTTATTATAATCTAAAAAACTATACTTTTTCTCATCATCACTCTGTAAATCTTCTGTATTAAATGTTTCATTATCTGAGTAAAGTTTACTCGATGATACTATAGACCTCCGTAATGTTCCAATGAGTTCATTCAAAAAGGGCTTATTATTTAATGACAGTCGTTGTAAAGAGTGTCGAATACTATTCATGTTCTGTGTGAAATTATAATCATTATTTAAATACTTTATTCATAATAAAATATATGTATATGGTTTTTTTATATGAGTAAATGAACATTTAAGTTTTCTATAATGTTGTGTACTTACGTATAACGTGATATATGTATTTATGCAGAGTTAAATGTTATTATATAAAATGACAATGATTGCAATAATATAAATACAGTACTTCTTAATTCATATTTTGTTATTATTAACCTAATAGTGATTGAAAACTTCAAATATTGTTATGTATTGTAATTGAGAATCGTGAATGAGTTCTGAAGATGGTGGATGCAGCGTCATCTGAGATTTTTATATCAGAAAGTGAACTAACCATCAATATGGCTGCATCAAGCGCGATATTTGAATATAATCTGTACAGAAAAAAATGACAAGAAAATTATCGAGTATATTTAACGATAATTTAATAAGTTTTTATATAAATCGTAATTCTTATTGATTAAAAATGTGAATTTGTTCATATAAACGGTAACGTAGTTGTAAAAATATATTATATGTTATATAATATATTAAATATATATACAAGGTATACCAAAAGTCGTTTTACTGCGAAAAGTAAAACAAAACAAAAGATCAATATTGGTTTATTAAATTTTAACTTATCCACAAAGTTCGATGAAATTTTTGAAGAAAATACATATTTATAAATTGTCATTTATAGACTGTTAATAAACTATGGTCCTGCGATGTCGCTACTTTAAATATCTAGCAAAACAAATGTAGAATTTTATAGTTCGATGAAGTGACTTCTGAGACAACTTGTATATATGGGGCATTCCACGTCAAATCGGATAGCATTCTGCCTTTGCATCATCGATTTTTTTGAAAATTTTTTGTTATAGTACCCATTGAAAAAGACCTCCATGATTTCTTTCAATTTTTTTTGCCCAGCTGTTTTCGAGATATCAATTTTTGAAAAAAATCGCTTTTCTTTTTTTCAAATGTCTGTAACTTTGCGAAAAATGGGCCAATCGGGACGTTTTTTTTTTTTGAAAATTTTTGTTTTTAAACACACTTTTAGGATATAAAATCAAAAAAAATAATTAACCTGTATTTCTATAAGATTTTCAAATTTTGACTTTAAAATGTTGATTTCCAAAAAACACGTACTGATCGATTTTCTTGAAAATTTTTTCTAAAAAACTGTCAATTATCCCCCAACTTTTAAGCTTAGTCTCTTAATAGGCAATCGATGGGATCCATTTTTTTCCGATTTTTCAAAATTTCAAATTCCAACTTTTTGTAATAAAAAATTTCTAAAAAA